ATATCTACTGCTAAATGGAAATCTCCCCAACGCGTCTGTCAGTTTGTCGTACTATGGGAGTTGTCTGTTGCTGTGATGCTGGAAGCTATGCCACTGGTATTCAAATACCAGCAGGGTCACCCATGGCGGACAGGTTTCAGATGAGCCTCCAGACTAAGACAGACTAGGAAGAAGGACCCGGCAGTCTACTTCTGAAAAGAATTAGCCAGTGAAAACCTTCTGAATAGCAGCGGAACACTGTCTGATATAGTGCCAGAAGATGAACCCCTCAGGTTGGAAGGCACTCAAAAAATGACTGAGGAAGAGCTGACCCCTCAAATTAGAGTCAACCTTAACGACGTGGATGGAGTCAAGGTTTCGGGACCTTCATTTGCTGATGTGGCATGACTCAAAATGAGAAGAAACAGCTGCAAACATCCATTAATAATCAGAACCTGGAATGTACGAAGTACGAATTTAGGAAGACTGGAAATCGTCAAAAATGAAGTGGAATGCATAAACGTTGATATCCTAGGCATCAGTGAGCTGAAATGGACTGGTATTGCTCATTTTGAATCTGACAATCATACGGTCTACTATGCCAGGAATGACAACTTGAAGAGGAATGGTGTTGTATTCATCATCAAAAAGAATATTTCAAGATTTACCCTGAAGTGCAATGCTGTCAGTGACAGGGTAACATCCATATGCCTACAAGGAAGACTAGTTAATACAACTATTAATTCAAATTTATGCACCAACTACTAAGGCCAAAGATGAAGAAATTGAAGATTTTTACCAGCTTCTGCAGTTTGAAATTGATCAAACACACAATCAGGATGCACTGATAATTACCAGTGATTGGAATGCAAAAGTTAAAAACAAAGAAGGGATTGGTAGTTGGAAAATATGGCCTTGGTGATAGAAACGATGCTGGAGATCGCATGATTGAATTTTACAAGACCAATGATTTCTTCGTTGCAAATACTTTTTTTCACCAACAAATGGCGACTATACACATGGACCTTGCCGAATGGAATACACAGGAATCAGATTGACTACATCTGTGGAAAGAGACAATGGAAAAGCTCAGTATCATCAGTCAGAACAAGGCCGGGGGACATCTGTGGATAAGACCATCAATTACTCATATGTAAGTTCACGTTGAAACTGAAGAAAATTAAAACAAGTCCACGAGACCCAAAATACAACCTTGAGTATATCCCACCTGAATTTAAGAGACCATCTCAAGAATAGATTTGATGTGTTCAACACTAATGACCGAAGACCAGACGAGTTGTGGAATGACATCAAACATAAAGAGGTCACTAAAAAGAGAGAAAGAAAAGACCTAAATAGATGTCAGAAGAGACTCTGAAATTTGCTCTTGAACGTTGAGTAGCTAAAGCAAAAGGAAAAAATGATGAAAAGAGCTGAACAGAAGATTTCAAAGGGCAGTTCGAGAAGACAAACTAAAGTATTAAAATGACATGTGCAAAGACCTTGAGTTAAAAGGGAAGAAAATGCTTGGCATTTCTCAAGCTCAAAGAACTGAAGAAAAAATTCCAAGTCTCGAGTTGCAATACTGAAGGATTCTATGGGGAAAATATTAAATGACATAGAAAGCATCAAAAGAAGATGGAAAGAACACAAAGTCACTATACCAAAAAGAACTGGTTGACATTCAGCCATCTCAGGAGGTAACATATGATCAGGAACTGATGGTACTGAAAGAAGAAGTCCAAACTGCACCGAAGGCATTAGTGAAAAACAAGCCTCTGGGAATTGACAGAATACCGAGATGTTTCAACAAACAGATGCAGCACTGGAAGTGCTCACTCATCTATGCCAAGAAATTTGGAAGACAGCTACCTGGCCAACCGACTGGAAGAGATCCATATTTATGCCTATTCCCAAGAAAGGTGATCCAACCGAATGCGGAAATTACTGTACAGTATCATTAATATCACATGCAAGCAAAATTTTGCTAAAGATCATTTAAAAGCTGCTGCAGCAATATATCAACAGGGAACTGCCAGAAATTCAAGCTGGATTTAGAAGAGGAACCAGAGATATCATTGCTGATGTTGGATGGATCCTGGCAGAATGCAGAGAATACCAGAAAGATGTTTACCTGTGTTTTATTCACTATGCAAAGGCATTCAACTGTGTGGATCATAACAAATTATAGATAACATTGCGGAGAATGGGAATTCTGGAACACTTAATTGTGCTCATGAGGAATCTGTATATGGATCAAGAGGCAGTGGTTCGAACACAACGAGTATACTGCATGGTTTAAAGTCAGGAAAGGTGTGCGTCAGGGTCGTATACTTTCACAGTACCTATTCAATCTGTATGCTGAGCAAATAATCCAAGAAGCTGGACTATATGAAGAACAGGGCATCAGGATTGGAGGAAGACTCATTAACAACCTGCAATACACAAATGACACAATCTTGCTTGCTAAAAGTGAAGAGGACTTGAAGCACTTACTGATGAAGATCAAAGACCACAGTCTTCAGTATGGATTACACCTCAACATAAAGAAAACAAAAATCCTCACAACTGGACCAATAAGCAACATCATGGTAAATGGAGAAAAGATTGAAGTTGTCAAGGATTTCATTTTACTTGGATCCACAATCAATACCCATGGAAGCAGCAGTCAAGAAATCAAAAGATGCATTGCCCTGGGCAAATTGGCTGCAAGAGATCTCTTTAAACTGTTAAAAAGCAAAGATATCACCTTGAGGACTAAGGTGTACCTGACCTAAGCCATGGTGTTTTCAATCATCTCATATGCATGTGAAAGCTAGACAATAAATAAGGAAGACTAAAGAAGAACTGACGCCTTTGAACTGTGGTGTTGGCAAAGAATATTGAATATACCACGGACTGCCTAAAGAATGAACAAATCCGTCTTGGAAGAAGTACAACCAGAATGCTCCTTAGAAGCAAGGATGGCGAGACTACGTCTCACATACTTTGGACATGTTATCAGGAGGGAACAGTCCCTGGAGAAGGACATCATGCTTGGTAGAAGGTCAGTGAAAAAGAGGAAGACCCTCAATGAGATGGATTGACACAGTGGCTGCAGCAATGGGTACAAGCATAGCAATTGTGAGGATGGCGCAGGACCTGGCAGTGTTTTGTTCTGTTGTGCACTTGGTCAGTATGATTCGGAATGGATTCAACGGCACCTAACAACAACAACAAATGGAAATCATACTGTAAGGATTGGGACCTAAAATGATTTTTTGGTTGTGGTGAGTCTAGAGTCTCCACAATTTGTTTTGGTCACAATTTACTCCTGTAAAGTAAACAATCCATTTAATTCTGTATCAGAGGTACTGTATTTCTAAATTGTTTCTTTTCTCCATCAGTTAATATTCAGAATGAAAAACATGCTACAGGAAAAACATTTAAAGGTTCTCTTTATTCTGATGAGGCAAGTGGAACTTCAATGTTTTAGCCATTGATTGTAAGCTTTAAAACTAATTTCTGGTTATCAAGACATAATGCCAAGTTTTTACTTAAAATATAAACTCATTCTTTCTCTCTGCTTCTAACTCTCCTCCAAGTCCAACTTTCTTATTAAGACTCTGTCTTTGTTAAGTAACCCATCTCTGTGATGGGAAGGTCACAGGAAGGATATTATTCTTAACCATTCCACCTCCCACTGGGTGTAGAATAAAAACCCTCTGTAATTTCAAGCTCCCAGAATGTTCTGTATCATATATATAGCCAACACAATATGACCTTTGTTTCTAAGAGCTAGTATCATCAAATGCTGATTCTAAAGAGCTGGCCAAAGAATTTATGATTCTTAAAAACTAGTTACTGAGCTGAATTTTATTTTACTGATCCTACTTATCTCAAAATAGAACTTCTGATGTTGTCCCCTTAGGGTATCTCCAAACTGGTTTTGGAACACAGGCCTCAGTACTACCTGAGCATGAGTCCCTTCCTACTGGTCCCATGCTTTTGACTTGGATACAGAAACCTTTTAAGAGGAGCTACAAAGTGAAAATACAACAGCCAAGATCATGAAAAGCCCTAAAGCCAACTTCTATGCAACAATACACCAAATAATGTAGTGTTTTCTATATGGCCAAAGATTGGACTGAAAGTGCAATTAAAATTTAAGAAAATTATAATGGTTTTCTAATCAGTTTACATGCAGTCTAGACATATTACAGCATGATGTTTAGAAAAGAATAGGGAAGGAAAAAGGCATCTAAGAGGTCAAGAAAAGAAGAATGCTGCCTCCCAAAATAAAGTGTGATGGGCAATGGATTATTTTAAGTGTTAATTTTAGTCAAATGATTAGACATTAAATAAAAGTGTAGGGAGACATTCCAGCAAATAATGCAACTGAGCCACAGAGTGAAACTTATGAGACTTTATGAAAAAAAGAACAGTAAAAATATTCCTTTGGAATGAGTGATAATTATTAATACTTACACACTGAAAACATATCCTCGGCAATAGTCATCATTTGAGTTTGAGGTAAGTATGGTGGTGTAAGCCTCTGAAAGAATGCTCCTAACAAAAAGGAATTAATACCATGTGGAAAAGGGATGTTCTACTCTCCCCATAGCCATGCCCCCAATTTGCATATCTTGCCCTTGCTATTCCTGCCTCCACTATTCTTTTAATTTCTTCTCAGTGTAATCACCGAGTAAAATAGAAAATGGAAACAGAAAAACAATCAACGAAGGCCTTATAAATAACTCTGAAATTGGCATTTTAAGCTCTAGCTATTACCAAAGTTCTTGAAAGCTTTAAGATGCAATTCTCCAGAGCTTCAAAGTATTTTACTGATTGAAGAAAGAATGATTTTTACTACTAACCTTATCTGCTTCATATTCTATTGGCTACTCTACCAATATAAATATAGTCTTCATATAGAAAAAGATACTTTTTATAGCAGCAAGTCTGTATCCATTATTGTGAAGTCTGCTTTCAAGGGACTTTTATGCTCCATCATGAATAAAATTATTTGCTCCCAAAGTAACTTTATTTGCAGAATGTCAGTAAAGTTTATTAAAATCCGAGCCACTCTGTCATGTAAATACAGTTAGATGGTGAAATCTCACCACCCTCATGGCAGTCGTCAAAAACCTTAAAAAAGAAAAAAAAATGTTTAAAATCAAACTGAAGTTTTAAAATTATTACATTATAGGTACACTCTTAAATCAAATGTCAACTATAACTAAAATTTCTATTAACATATCCAAAACCCAACTGTTTATTTAAAGTAATATTAAAAAAAAAAAAATTCAAATTGAAAGGGATTAGGACTATATTTAAGGGAGTACCGTAATAGGACCTGTTTGGTGATCATAAAATTAGTTAATCAGAGGCCTTTTACTGTAGCATGAAGATGACCATATTCATCTGCCCCTTGGGTGAAAGGTATCAGCAGGCAACATACAAGGGAGACCTATAAATATAAATCATCTAATTTTGACTAAACAAATATTTCAGGTTTTGCTACTTTACTTTTTGTAAAGAGTGCTAAACAGGATTCTCAATATGTAGCCTTTTTTCTAACAGTTGAAACGAGGGCACTGGAGAGCTTAGGCATACAGACAAGGGCCAGTATAGTTTTAGTGAAATAATGCACAGACTAGCAGCCCAAGAACACAAATGCCATGAGAGCTGGGGCGGTGTCTCTTGCTCACTGCTGTATCCTCAGTGTCTACAGCACATGGTCAGCACTCATAAACTATTTGTGGAATGAATGAATGAAGAGTGAGGCAGCCTGCAGGGAAAAGGACATTATCTCTGGGTTTGAATCCTGGCTACTTCTAATCTGTATGCTCTTAGGTATCCCTAAGCTTGGTTCCCTCACTCTCCAGGGTGATAACACCACTAGCTCTTAGGGACACAGGGATAATTTAAATGAGACCTTGTATGAGAATCATCAAGAACATTTCTGGCCCACAGTAGGTACTCAACAAATGAGTTCCTTCCCTGCTTGGATTAAATAATTAGCCCTCATCAAAAACCGTCCATTTCAGGGCCAAGAGCAGAAAATGTAAATTTCCTTAACCTGGTTATTACAAGAAAGAACATAAGGCAATGACATGGTCAGTAAAGGTCAGTTCATTATGGTTATGTAGTTTAAGCAGCTCTTGGCCAACCCTAAGAATCTGAAGAAAACTGGGTGTGCTTGCTTTGTTCTATTATGTGGCATTTGCACTTGCTGTCTTAAAACCACTTTAACTTACCGGGCAGAGTCCACAGGGGGCCCGGACCAAACCTGTGGGTGGTATGATTGCACTGACTGCCCTATACAGTTTCATGTGTCCATCTACACTGCCAACTGTGCCTTCTTTTGCAGCAATGATGGTCATCTCCACCTTCCCATCATAAATGAGTGTGTTCAAGATGGTTTCAATGTCCTCCATGGACAACTCTACCTAAAAAAAGGGTACATTAGAAAGGACACAAAAAGGACAAGGATCCATCCTTTGGATGGTGTTATAAACAGCACAGGGTGAAATGGGGAAGCATTATGCTGGAGAGGAATAATCTAAAGCACAAAGAAGTCGAACGATGGTCAAGTTAGCACAAATCACTGAAAAGCTAAAGGACAAGTCTAGCTAGCTTCATGCTGAATTTGACACTTTCTAGTGTCTTCACCCTCCTGAGTAAAACCTAGCAGTCTTGTAAAGTAACATTTCTTTGACAAGAATTTGATGGAAATTTATAGAATGCTTGAGCAGAAAGGTAATTTAAACCTCAAATAGTCCAACTTCCTAGTTTTATAAATGAGAAATCTGGGGCCCAGGAAATGAAAATGATTTTGTCCAGGTGGCCACTACAGCTTCTTTGCTGATCATGAAAAGCATCCAGTACAGTGGCCAGTATCGGTCTTCAAAATAAGTTGCTGATAACACCACTTATATCTAGTAAGTAGGAAAATACCAATAAATGAGAAGTGATATGACAACTGATGTTCTGCACATATGCTAAAATGTCCCTGAGAAAGTCAAGAACTTGACAGAACAGACTGCAATTTTGGTAGTGAAATGCACTGCCTGGCATCCAGTCTGCTGTTCTTAACAAGCTCAAGAACAGTTCAGACAGTACCCATTGGCAATGACTGCCTTTGCCAAATACTAAGAATAGATTTTCACAAAATGGGTCTGTGGAACGTTCACCGGTATCACTTGGAAAAAGGGTTCTGGGGCAAATATGTTTAGGATACGCTGTACACTACACCCCAATGATTAAGAGTAAAAAAAAGATGAAAAGTATATGAACACGTGAGAAATGAAATTCTGACCTTACTGATCCCCAATTCACAGATGTACTTCCACACTTCATGTGATGAAGCGAATGAACTATTTCTTTGTATCATCGGATTCTGTTTGCTTTCTCGTGCTGTTTCTGCCTATCAAGATGGAGGCATAAGAAATCTCAGTAAAAGTATTGGTGTTTTCTGACTACAATTTATACAGGGTCAAACTGACTGCAGAACATATTTTGTTTATTAAAATTACCAATTTCAGTATTTTCAATTCCTATAAAATATGATATACAAGATTAAACATTGTTTATGAAGAAATTCTTTAAAAACAATTTGCAGTGATGTTTCCTCTCTTATGCCTTACCTTGGTTTGTAGGAATTTAAAACACTGTTGGTTAAGCACTTCTACAAATTCAGATTCAAAATCCTGGTCACTGTACCAGGCTCCACCTGTCACAGACCGGTCTGGCTGCAGGTTATACAGCATATACACCTTCTTTTTTGAGGCCTAAGAAAGAACACGCAAAGCTTATGTGTTTAGAATATAATAGTCTCCAAAAACTAAGATTACTTTTTTTTAAAAAATAAACTCTATTTTAGAACAGTTTTAGATATATAGAAAAATTGTGAAGATAGCACAGAGAGTTCCTGTATATCCCATACCCCGCTGCCCGTTATTAACATCTTACATTAAGGATGGTACATAAGTCACAATTAGTGAGTCTATATTAATATATTAACTAGTTCCAGTCTTTATTCAGATTGCCTCAGTTTTTTTCTCAATCTTGTTTTTCTGTTCCATGGTCCTATCCAAGACAGCACATTACATTAAACTGTCATCTGTCTGTAAGTTCCTCTTGGCTGTGACAATTTCTCAGGCTTTTCTTATTTATGATGACCTTGTCAGTTTTGAAAATTTCTGGTCAGGTATTTTCCAGAACATCCCTCAACTGGGATTTGACTGATGTTTTTCTAATGATTAATGTGTTTTTTTCTTTCTTTCCTGTCTTTTAATGACCTCTTGCTTTCTTCATGTATGATGTCCTTAATGTCATTCCATAACTTGTCTTGTCTTCAGTCATTAGTGTTCAACATGTCAAATCTATTCCTGAGATGATCTCTAAATTCAGGTGGGATATACTCAAGGTCGTATTTTGGCTCTCGTGGACTTGTTCTAATTTTCTTCAGTTTCAACTTGAACTTGCATATGTGCAATTGATGGTCTGTTCCATAGCCGGCCCCTGGCCTTGTTCTGACTGATGATATTGAGCTTTTCCGTCTTGTCACCGCAGATGTAGCTGATTTGATTCTTGTGTATTCCATCTGGCGAAATCCACATGCATAGTCACCATTTATGTTGTTGAAAAAAGGTATCTGCAATGAAAAAGTCATTGGTCTTGCAAAATTCTATCACGCGATCTCCAACATCATTTCTATCACCAAAGCCATATTTTCTGACTACCAATCCTTCTTCGTTTCCAAGTTTTGAATTCCAATCACCAGTAACTCTCAATGCATCCTGATTGCATGTTCAATTAATTTCAGACTGGGGAAGCTGTAAAAAATCTTCAATTTCTTCATTTTTGGCCTTAGTGGTTAGTGCATAAATTTGAATAACAGTCGTATTAACTGGTCTTCCTTGTAGGCATGTGGATATTATCCTATCACTGACAGAATTATACTTCAGGATAGATCTTGAAATGTTCTTTTTGTCGATGAATGCAACAAATTTTCAATTTGTCATTCCCAGCACAGTAGACCATACGATTGTCTGATTCAAAATGTCCAATACCAGTCCATTTCGGTTCACTAATGCCTAGAATATCAATGTTTATGTGTTCCATTTCATTTTTTATGATTTCCAATTTTCCTAGATTTCATACTTTGTACATTCCACGTTCCGAGTATTAATGGATATTTGCAGCTGTTTCTTCTCATTCTGAGTCGTGCCACATCAGCAAATGAAGGTCCTGAAAGCTTGACTCCATCTACATCATTAAGATCAACTCTATTTTGAGGAGGCAGCTCTTCCCTAGTCATCTTTTGAGTGCCTTCCAACCTGAGGGGCTCATCTTCTGGCATTATATTAGACAGTGTTCCTCTGCTATTCACAAGGTTTTCATTGGTTAATTCTTTTCAGAAGTAGACTGCCAGGTCCTTCTTCCTAGTCTTAGTCTGGAAGCTCAACTGAAACCTGTCCGCCATAGGTGACCCTACTGGTATCTGAATACCGGTGGTACAGCTTTCAGCATCATAGCAATATGCAAACCCCAACCATACGACAAACTGACAGACTGAAAGACCAAAATTGATATCAGAAGAGACTCTGAAACTTGCTCTTGAATGTCGAGTAGCTAAAGCAAATGGAAGAAATGATGAAGTAAAAGAGCTGAACAGAAGATTTCAAAGGATGGCTCAAGAAGACAAACTAAAGTATTATAATGACATGTGCAAAGACCTGGAGACAGAAAACCAAAAGGGAAGAACACGCTTGGCATTTCTCAAGCTAAAAGAACTAAAGAAAAAATTCAAGCCTCAAGTTGCAATACTGAAAGATTCTATGGGGAAAATATTAAATGACTCAGGAAGCATTGAAAGAAGATGGAAGGAATACAGAGTCATTATATCAAAAAAAAATTTGTCGACATTCAACCATTTCAGGAGGTAGCATACGATCAGGAACCGATGGTGCTGAACAAGAGGTCCAAGCTGCACTGAAGGCACTGGCAAAAAACAAGGCCCCAGGAATTGATGGAGTACCAACTGAGATGTTTCAACAAACAGATGGAGCCCTGGAGGTGCTCATTCGTCTATGCCAATAAATTTGGAAGACAGCTACCTGGCAACTGGAAGAAATCCATATTTGTACCTATTCCAAAGAAAGGGGATCCAAAAGAATGTATAAAGTATCAAACAAGACCATTAATATTATATACAAGTAAAATTTTGCTGAAGATCATTCAAAAGCAGTTGCAGCAGTACATTGATGGAGAACTGCCAGCAATTCAAGCTGGATTCAGAAGAGGACATGGAACTAGGGACATCATTGCTGATGTAAGATGGATCCTGGCTGAAAGCAGAGAATACCAGAAAGATGTTTACCTGTGTTTTATTGACTATGCAAAGGCATTCAACTGTGTGGATCATAACAAATTA